CATAGAGAACTTGCAGGGACCAGGGGGACATGGAGAAGGCAGAAGGACTGTAGGCAATGGAGGACACAGGGCTGGTGGGCAAAGAGGTGGTGGGGTGATGGATGGCAAGTCCAGAGCAATGGAGGGACAGGTCCGTAGGGAAGAGGGGGTTGTGGGATATGGTGTGCGGTGGGACGGAGCAGCTGGTGGATAGGGGAACACTGAGGCCAGGACAGAGGGACCTCAGCATTTGCAGCAGGAGAAGGTGCAGCCTCAGGAGCCAAAACATGCCTGAGGGATCCACTCAGGCTCTGCCCACATGTGGAGATTGATGTCCCCCACCTCCTGGGGTCCCCCCTCCCCATCTGCCCCCAGATCTCCTGCCACACAGATCTAGGCTGGTGTGGAGCAGGCTGAGCTTACAGAATACCATGGAGCAGATAGAGTATCTGCCCCACAGCGGATACACTGTGAGGCAGCTCAAGGCTGAGCTCATGAGTTACATCACATTGCACTGTGGGTCTGGTCGCATTGTGCTGTGGGGCACGCTGTGCTGCAAACTCCTTGGTGATCTTGAGTGGGCTACAGACATGCTGTGGGTGCCATGCCATGGGGAAACCCTACCCTCCCCACACAAACACAGCCCCACAAAACCTGATGCTGCTCAATGCTTTTTATTGGCTGACCAAGGTTAGGGGGCTGGGAATGGGGGTGGGCCACTTGGAGGTCCAGGGGATATTGTTGGGGGTCCAGAGCTTCACTCTTCATTGAGTCCCTTCTGATGGAGAATGAAAAAAAGAGACTGTGAGCATGAGGAAGTTGTGGGGCAGCCGTGGGGCAGCTGTAGGGCAGGGAAGAGTCCCACCTTGGCTCCAATGTCGCGGCTCTTGGCCCGCAGCTTGTTGACCTGGGACTCGGCGATGTCGGCACGCTCCTCTGCCTCATCCAGCTCGTGCTGGGCCTTGCGGAACTTGGCCAGGTTGGAGTTGGCCTGTTCCTCCTGAGGGTGCAGGGACACCAGTGAGGCTCCCACACAGCTCTGTCTGGCCTCCTGCCACCCTGCCAGCTGTCCCTCCATCCTATCTTCTTATTGTTCCATCTGGCCCACCATGGACCCACCTGTCCTTTCAGGCATCCCATCCTCCAGCCACGCAACCATCTCCTCAACAAACCATCCATCTAACATTCCATCCATCCATCCATCCATCCATCCATCCATCCATCCGTCCGTCCGTCCGTCCGTCCGTCCATCTCCACATTCCACCACCCACCCACTTTCTCCACTTTCTTTTGACATACTCTTTTCACCCCCTGACACCCCACCCCTTGACCACCCCAAGGTCCCCTGCTACTCCCCACATTCTCTCCCACACCCCAACTGTCCCAGCCCCGACACTGTCCCCTCCTGTGGGGTGGTGCCACAGATGCCCCTCCAGTGCTCACCGCCTCCTCTGCCTGTCGCTTGTAGGCCTTGACCTTCATTTGCAGTTTGTCCACAAGGTCCTGGAGCCGGACCAGGTTCTTGCGGTCCTCTTCTGTCTGTGGGGTGAGACACAGGTGGGTTAGGACATGATCCTCCCTTTGCTTTGAATCACCATGAGAGCAGTGAGGGTCAGGAGACAGTTAATGATGTTCTTGGGGAGTGGTGCTTCTCTGGATCTGTGAGTGGTCTCAACTGTGGGGCTTATCAAATCTAGACAGCCTGTGTCTCTCTGGCCAGCAGGTCGGCCATGTTCGAGGTCATGTACAGCATGAAATATGAGGCCCTGAGGCCAAGGGGCAGGAATTGACCTGGGCCAGCCCAGGAGCCCCACCTGGTAGCTCAGCTCCTTGACACGACGCTCGGACTTGCGGAGACCCTTGACACTCTCGGCATGCTCATGCTCCAGAGAGGCCTGGTGGAGACAGACAGAAATTAGAGGGCCATAGAGGACAACATGGCACTCATGGGGATGTGATTTGGCTCACCTCAGCCTCTTCCAGTGCAGCTTGGAGCTCCAGTTTCTCAGCATCCAGCTGCTTCCGGACCTTCTCCAGTTCATGGATGGTCTTGTGGCTGCCACCCAGCTGCTCCGTCAGGTCCGAGATCTCCTCTACCCAGATGATAACCCATCAGACTTGGTGGAATGTAGTGGGATACAAAAAGGTGGCAGGGAAGGACCATGGTCTCACCTTGGAGATTCTTGTTTTCCCTCTTTAAAGTCTCTAAGTGATCAAGTGACTCCTCATAAGCATTTTTCAGCTTGAAGAGCTCGGTGCTGAGGGACCTGGCCTCTTTCTGTGATGCCTCCAGCTCCACCTGGGACTCTTCAAACTTCTGTTTCCACTCAGACAAGATCTATGAGGACACCACCTGCTCAGCTGCTGCTTTGCCCATGAATAACCCTCTTTCCATCCTCTTCCTCCCTTCCCCAATGCTCTCCTGAAAGGGACTTGAGGGTCTGCTAAAACATGGCCCTTGAAAGTTGTTCAGATTTTTTCTGGATTTCTCCTGCCTTTTTTTGGTTCATGGGACCCACATTTCTCTACCCCCTTTCCACCCTTCTCCTTCCATCATTCCTTGGTCCTCCCACCTTGTCACAGTCATGCCGGGCTGACTGGAGGGCATGGGCCAGTGCATTCTTTGCCTGGGAGGGGAGAGAGTTACAAGGTGAGGAGGACCTGGATCTATATGAAGGTGAGCTGTATTGGCATTTTCCAACTCCAACTACCTAGTTACCAACCAACCCAACCCAACCCAGCCCAACTTCCCTGTAACTCACCAGTCCTTCTAAATTTCTGAGGACCCTTGATTCATTTGCTCCTGCTTTGAGGGCAGGCTCATGATGCACTTCTTAATCCCAAACCTTAGCAATGAAGGTGTCTTTTGACCTCACTGACCCCCCAACAAAGCTCTACCTTGACTTCTTCCTCTAGCTGCCTCTTGAGGTCCTCCAGCTGTTGGGTGTAGGTGAGTTTCCCTCGTGTCATCTGGTTGATGAAGGCTTCTTTCTCCTCCAGCTGCCTGGAGAGCTCACCTGTCAGGTGGAATGGCAGATAATCAGTTGCAGGACACACCCCCAAGCCACCTCACTGGGCAAGAGTTAGGCAATTGGGTTAGGGAAGAGCAAGACCCTCACCATTTTCTGTCTGGAGCTTGGCTCGTTGAGTGGTGAGGTCATTGACCATGCGTTGAGCCTCTTCGGACTTGGTCCGGTGCTCATTCATCTGATCTTCCATGGTGCGGCACATCTTCTCCAGGTTGGCCTACAAACAGAAAGGGCAGAAGATGAAAGGGAACCTTGAGAGGGCAGTGGAAGGGCAGTCTTCAAGGCTGTAGACCTATTTCTGAGATTCTTGCAGGGCCTTCTTCTCCTTCGTTAACTTGACAATGATCTCGTCCAGCCCGGCCATCTCCTCTGTGAGGTTCTTGACCTGCAGGAGGAGAAATATCAGGCCTCCAGCTTGGTAACAGAGGTAGAAGAAGAGACAGGAGGCTGTTCTTGCTCTTTGTGAAGCTGGGTCTAAGTCAGGAGATGTAGGAAAACACAACCAGCCTTGGTTCTTGGTGATGCAATCCAACCAGTCTTGCATTATTGCAATCCAACCAGTCTTGCATTATCAAAGCAGCCTTGGTTCTTGGTGATGCAATCCAACCAGTCTTGCATTATCGCAATCCAACCCAAGCAGTTTTGGGTCCTTATGAGCCAACTCATCCAGCCTTGAATTTGACAGCCCAAACAGCCTTGATTCTTGGCAACCCAACCCAACCAGCCTTGGGTCTTCACCAGACTCTATTCATGTTGGCTTTGGTCAGCTCAGTTCCCCACAATCTGAGGTCAAGACATCTCCCCACCCTCACCTTGTTCTCAGTGGCGTGTTTCTCCTTTTCCACTTTGGCCAATGACAACTCCAGGTCATCAATATCTTTCTTCAGCTCTGAGCATTCATCCTCCAGCTTCCTTTTCTTTGCTGTCAACTCTGCATTCATCTCCTCCTCATCCTCCATCCGCTCAGTCATCTCTTTCACCTTGGCTTCCAGCTGGATCTTGTTCTTGATCAGCTGGTCACAGCGCTCCTCAGCGTCAGCCAGGTTGTCTTGCTCCTGGAAGGGGTAAGCTTGGTTTGAGGTGAATGAAAAAGGAGCGCAGGGCCAGGACATCTGGGTCACTCACAGCCTGCACTTGGAGCTGAAGGTCATTTTTCTCCTGCAGCATGGAGACCATCTTTTCCTCTAGCTCCTTTCGCCGGGCTTCTGACTTCTCTAAGGCCTCCTTCAGCCGCCCAAACTCTTCTTTCATGTTCTGTGGGAGGCACAAAGGTGCCATGTAAATCTCATTTTTTCCTTTTTGTTCCCACCTACCACTTCCTCTCTCCATCCACCCACCCACCTTCCCTACCCATGGCCCTGTCCTACCTGCATCTCTTTCTCCGTCTCAGCACTCTTCAACAAGGGCTTGATCTTGAAGTAGAGCTTCATCCAAGGCCAGTTCTTCACCCCCATGAAGGCCCTGATGTTCCACTGGATCACCAGTAGTGAGTCTCTGTAGAAGCCACATCAAGATGTGGATCACCAGGGGTTTCCACTCAACATGGATGCAACACCATCTCCATCTCACCACCTACCTGCGCTCTAGGATCTTCTTGAACTCCTGACGGGACAGGAAACCACGGACTTGGGCCTGCAAGCGGGTCATGATCCGGGCTAGGCGCTCATCCCTCATCTCCTCCAGCAGCCCCAGCAGCCCAGCCTTAAAGAAGACCTTTGAGGAAAGATGACGATAAGTGCTGCTGGAATTTGAAGGCATGGCAGAGGGATGGATGGTAGTGTGGATGGGAGCTCAGATGGGAAGGTGGACAAGTAGATGATGGAAACATAGAGTCCATCTGGTCCCACCATGAAAACCTTGTGGATCGTAGGCCCACCAGAACTGAGACCAAGTGACCTCACCTTTTGTCTACCCCATAGCACAGCTGCCCACCACCACCTTTGGCCAGAGCCCAGCAGTGTCCTCTGGATCAATCCTCAGGGATTGGCTTACCAGGAGACTTGGTCTCATTGGGGATGATGCAGCGAACGAAATGAGGGTGGGTAGACCGCAGGTTGGTCATCAGCTTGTTGAGATTCTCCTGAAAAATGGAGGAGGAGATGATGAAGGGAATGAAGACATGCCCCCAGCCTGTCCCACCAAGGGTTATCCCTTGCCCTGGGACATGATTTCCATGCCCACACACCCTGGGGTCCACCAATAACCCTTGAACTCTCACCCGATGCAGGGCAGAGACCGTTTGGAAGGAGGAGCCTTTCTTCTTAGCTCCTTTCCCCTTCTCCACAGCTGTTGGAGAAGAAGAAAGGATGAGATAGGACAGGGACAGGGTGGAAAGAACCCCAGGTGCTGAAGAAGGGGGTTCCTCTTACGTGCATCAGCCCCAGCATAGTTGGCAAAGAGGTTGGCCAAGAGCTTCAGGGCAGATTTCTGGTAGAGCCCCACCACTGTCTCATTGAGGGGGTCCTTGTTCTTCTGCAGCCACCCGATGATGTTGTAGTCCACTGTGCCAGCATAGTGGACAAGAGAGAAATGGGCCTCTGGCTTCCCCTTGACATTGCGTGGCTTCCCAAAGTTGGCCGACTTGCCCAGGTGATTATCAAAGAGCTTGGCCTTGAAGGTCATGTCTGTGGCCTTGGGAAACATGCACTCCTCCTCCAGGATGGACATGATCCCCATGGGCTAGGAAGAAAAATGGTGGTGGAGGATATTAAGCACAACCTAGCTAACCAACTCTGGGGCACCTGGCAGGCTCCAACTCAAAGGGCCCTTCCCCCAAAGTCCCTTCAGCCCCCATGAGGCCCTGAGGGAGGTGGTACCTTCTCAATGAGGTCAATGCAGGCCTGGAGGTCCATGCCAAAGTCAATGAACTCCCACTCAATGCCCTCCTTCTTGTATTCCTCCTGCTCCAGCACGAACATGTGGTGGTTGAAAAACTGCTGCAACTTCTCGTTGGTGAAGTTGATGCAGAGCTGCTCAAAGCTGTTGAACTGGGGAAGGAGAGAGGAGATGGCCAGTGGGATCAACAGAACAACTACTATGTTCAGCTGGATCAACCTGAGCCCCAACAGCGTCAACACAAATGAAAACAAAGTCATCTGACCATCCAGTAGGATTAACTCTACATCCAATGTAATCAACACAACATAGTCAACCAGGGCTTACATCAAAGATTTCAAAGCCAGCAATGTCCAGCACACCAATGAAGTACTGCCGTGGCTGCTTGGTCTCCAGTGAATTGTTGATCCTGGTCACCATCCAGTTGAACATCTTTTCATACACGGCTTTGGCCAAGGCTCCGACAGCATAAATCACCTGGAAGAAGGATGCCCCACCAGTGAGAGGGCCTCTTGGTGTTCTTCTTGCTGAAGATGACACCATATCACACCAAAAGGAGGACATTCTGGGGATGTCCTACTCACCTGCTGGACATTCTGCCCCTTGGTGACATACTCATTGCCCACCTTGACCCGAGGGTGGCACAACCCCTTGAGAAGATCAGCTGAGTTCAGCCCCATTAGGTAAGCTGACTTGTCTGCCTCTGAGGATGAAGAAGTGAAAATATGAACCTGGAAGGATCATGGAGTTCACCCCAGTTTCCACCTCAACCTTGGTTAGACCCAACCTTCTGTGCCATCTGGTTCTGCCTGCTCTTCCCGTTGTTTCTGCTTGAACTTCATGTTGCCAAAGTGCATGATGGCTCCTGTCAGTTTATAGATGGAGTTCTTCTCCTCTGGAGTGAATCCCAGGACAGCAAAGGCACTCTGTGGTGCAAAAATGTGTTCAAGTCCTCTCCAGCCAACAGAGACACATAGACACTACCTGATGGCCTCCCATCTCACATCTGTGGCCAGGAGCTCCTCTCCATCATCAATGGATGGAACTGTGGTCTCTCCTTGGGAGATGAAGGCATAGTCATAGGGGTTGTTGGTCACCAGCATCATGTCTGAAAGCAGAAAAAGGGGTTGGGACAGGCAGGTCCCAAAAGGGGTGTGGGATCAGGTAGGTTGGGAGCATAGCTCACCCAGCAGCTCAGGCTTCTTATTGGAGAGGATCTGGTAGTAAATGTGGTAGTTTCTTTCAGCCTTCAGCTGGAAGATCACACGGGACTTCTCCAGGAGGTCTGGGGTGGGGATGAAGAGAAGATGGGTGGAATTCAGGATGAGAAGATAGAGGTTCAGATGGATGAATGGAGGGAGGCTTGAGAATGTGGAAGGGTAGATGGATGAAGATGAGGAGAAGTATGGACAGGTGGATGGAGAGATAGGTAGAGGAAGGGATGGTGGACAACGAGATATCCTCTCATGGAGCCCTCAACCTACTCACAGGTCTCAATGTCAGCTGATGCCAGCTTCCCAGTGGCCCCAAAATGGATCCGGATAAACTTTCCCTGGAAGAATAGTGGAAGGACGTGGAGGTGGCGGAGGTGGCCACCTTCTCCCAGAACACCCCAACCCACAGACCCTTCCCAAAGGACTCCACTTCACAGACTCTTCCTCACAGACTCCACCCCTAACACTCACAAATCGGGATGAGTTGTCATTCCGGACAGTTTTGGCATTGCCGAAGGCCTCCAAGGCAGGGTTGGCCTGGATGATCTGGTCCTCCAGGGTGCCCTGGTTGGAGTGGGACAGTGTCAAAGGGGTTCAAACAGTAAGGTGTAGGGGATGAAGGGTGCAAGGTTTCAATGGATGAATAGGAGAACACAGTGGTCCATGAAGGTTTGAGTGGGTGGTCAGATTGATGGACAGGGATGTGGGTTGATGCCATCAGTGGATGGATGGATGGATGGATGGATGGATGGATGGATGGATGGATGGGGATGGGACAGATGAATGGAAGGTTGGATAGATGGTTAGTTGGTTGGTTGGTTGGTTGGTTGGATTTTTGGGTGTTTGGTTCAGTAAATGTTTGGGTGGTTGATTGTGTCATTGGTTGGACAGACAGGTGGCAGAATATTGGCCAGACCCCTGGGTATCATCCCCCACTCACTGCCGTTACCTTGCCCGGAGCCCCCGCCTCCTTCTTGCCTCGGTCACCGATGGCAGCGATGACAGCAAAGTACTGGATGACCCTCTTGGTGTTCACAGTCTTCCCTGCTCCGGATTCTCCGCTGAAGGTAGCCAAGGAGAGCAATGGTTGGGTACTGGTGCTATGGTGCTGGGAGTGGGGGAATCACTGGGAGGGATGGATAATGGACCTCCACAGACAAGTCCATGTAGTGATAAAGGGTTGGCCAGTGACATGACTTCAAGAGGGAAGGGGGGGCTATGTGCAGGTTGGGGGGTCTCAGCTGTGGGGAGGATTAAGACAGAGTTTACAGATGAGATTACTCACGTGATGAGGATGGATTGGTTCTCCCGATCTGGTGGGATGAGGAGAATAAACATGAGGTTCTGAAACCCACCTTGGCTCTGCCCCACATCTCCTGCTCCCCAAAAATGATAAGGGAATAAGGTTATGGAGTCCCCGCAGAAGGTCCCTACCTGTCAGCATATTCTGGTAGGCATTGTCAGAGATGGAGAAGATGTGGGGTGGAGCTTCACTCCGCTTCTTTCCCCGGTAGGCAGCCACCACCTCAGCATTGTAGACAGGCAACCACTTGTAGGGGTTGACAGTCACACAGAAGAGCCCTGAGTAAGTCTGGAAAAAGGAGTAGGTGGGTCAGAGTCAGAAGGTGCCACCCCACCAGGTGGTACAAGGGGTCTGCCAAAGCGACCTCTTGTGTCTATGTGATATCTTGGGTTTAGGTGACCCCTGTGGTCTGGATATGGGACGTCTTGGGTGTGGGGGACCAAAGAGGTCTGAAGAGAGGATGTCCCAGTTCTGTAATCTGGAGAAGGGATGTCCTGGTTTTGAGTGACCCAAAGGGTCTGGGATATCTTGGCTCTGGGTGGCTCAAGAGGTGTAAAGAAGGATCATCCCAGTTAGGGTGGGCCATGAGATCTGGAAAAGGGATGTCTTGCACCTATGTGGCCCAAGTGGTCTACAAAAGGGGTACCCAAGTTCTGGACGGGGTCTGAAGAACCTCATGGGCTCCAAACTCACATAGATCATCCAAGATGCATAGCGGTCCTTGAGGTTGTAGAGGACGGCGGGCTCATGGAGGAAAGTCAGCATGGCCATGTCCTCAATCTTGTCGAACTTGGGGGGGTTCTGCTGCATGATCTGGTCCTCCTTGACTGTCACTGTCTGCTCAAGGTAAGGAGAACCCCATGAAGCAGGAACACAGGGCAAGGAGTTGCCCCAGTTGTTCCTACCCAAAGGGCTGGGAGTTGGGCATCTGAATGTTCCCTTGAGAGCCAGAGGAGGTCTAGGTGTTCCTCAAGTGATAGAGAAGATGTTTTGGGGTCTGGGTGTGGCTGGGGTAATAGAGGAGGTTGGATGGGGTCTATCTGTCGAATAGGTTCTGGGAAAGGTGGATAAGGGCCTAGATATTTCCTGGGTTATAGAGAAGATGCTGTGCAATCTGAGCATCCAGTGGGTGCTGGAGAAGGCATTTTGAGTCTAGATGTTTCTTGTGTTCTAGAGAAGGTGGGTTGGGTTCTTTGTGTCCCATGTGGAATAGAGCTGCTGTTTTGAGGTTCTGGAGTCCAAGGTGTGGCTGGGGTCCCCCACCTTGCCATGTTCGGTCTCAGCAGTGATCTTGGAACCCTCACGGCTGACAATGGTGGCCTTGACATATTCCTCCTTTTCATCAGGGACGAAGATGTCCTTCTTCAGGTCGAAGGGGCGGGTCTGGGCAGCCAACCGTTCCTTCTCCGACTTGCGGAGATAGGGGGCGGCCTCCCCAAATTCAGCCATCTCCACATCAGGCATGGTGGCGCTGGACAGGGCTGGGTGGGGTAGGAAGAATCAGACCCTCCAAGGGCTGCCAGTTCATCCCAGTTGGCCCCATTGCAGCTCTTTCCTTGGTGAACCCATCATTCCCTATTCTTTGCTACATCTCCCACTTCCTCTTGGTCAACCCAACTCCTTCATTCCTCCCCTGTGCTCCCAGTTCCTCTCCAATGCTCCCACTCCTCCCAGCTGGCCCATCCCAAGTCCATCCTCAGTGCTTCCATTATCTAGAGTTCCCTCTCAATGCTTCCAGTTCCTCTCCAGTATCATCTCAGTGAGCCCCATCCAAGGTCCATCCTTGGTGATCTCATCTTCTCCCATTCTTCTCCAGTGCTCCCAGTTCCTTTACAGTGCTTCTAGTTCCTGCCAGTCCTCATCTCCATCCCAAGTTCCTTTTTAGAAGTCCCAGTGCCCTCCCCAGTGCTCCTTGTTCCTTGCAATGCCTCACACTGCCTGCCCTTTATCCCACCCCAGCATCTCCCAGTACCCCCAGTACTCCTGCATCCCTCCCAGTCCCTTCCAGTTCCCTACAGACCCTCCCAGTATCATCCCAGACCCTCCCAGTCACCCCCAGTCTCCCCAGACACCCCTCAGTTCCTTCCACTACCCAGCCCCACCTCTCTCTGTGGTCTCCGAGTCAGGGGATGACAGTGCAGGCTCAGGGCGGTTCTGGTCCTGCTCCGGGACACAACACCCCCCCCACCACAGTTTTTCCCAGTATGTCCCAGTATATCCCAATATGTCCAATTACATCCCAGCATCCCTGCCTGGCCCCGCCAGTACACCACCACGCACACACACACACACACACACACACACACACACAGAGAAACACACACAGAACTGCTCAGTAAGTTCCAGTATCCCCCTAGGATTCATTCAGTGCCCTCCCTCCTCCACCAGTATCACTCCAGTCCCTCCCAGTTACCACAAACTCTCCCAGCATCATCCCAGTCCCACCCTGTTTCCCCACAGATGCTCCCAGTATCATCCCAGTCTCCTGCAAAGACCCTCCCAGTTCCTTCCTAGATCCTCCCAGTCCCTCCCAGTCCCTCCCAGTTCCCCTATAGACCCTCCCAGTATAATCCCAGTCCCTCCCAGTTCCCCCATAGACCCTCCCAGTTCTCCTATAGACCCTCCCAGTCCCTCCCAGTTCACCCACAGACCCTCCCAGTTCCCTCCCAGTTCCTCCCTGTTCTTTCCCAGTTCCTTTCAGTTGCCCCTAGTTCCCCCATAACCCCCTCCCAGACCCTCACAGTGCTCCAAGTGCCCCCTGCCCCACCTGCCCCTGGGTCTGCAGGCGCTGCCTGGGAGACCCCCCTTATATCCCCCCTCCCCCCTGCAGCTGCGTCACCAGGAGGGGGGAGGGCATGTACAGACGGGTGACCTCAAGGCCACCTCACTGCCCTATAGGGACACGGTGACCCCTGTGGATCTGCAGTACACTCCCCAAATCCATTGGGCCCTCCCTCTGCTCTGTAGTCCTATAGGACCTTCACTGCCCCATAGGGTCCAGTGACCCCTAAGGAACTATAAAGCTCCACCAGCCCCATGGGACCCCCATATCTCGCACCCACAAGCTCATATAGCTCATATAGCTCCCCCCTACTTCACAGGACCTACTTCCAGCTCCACAGGGCTCCCCCAGCCCCATAAGACACCAGTCCAGCCCTATAGGACATGCATAGAACCCTTATCAGCCCCATGCGGGGGGCATTACTTCCTTTCAATAAAATCCCTGTAAGTGCACACAGCCCCATAGAACCCACTCCCAGACACCTCTCCCCAATCCCATGGTCCTATAGGATCCAAATCTAGCCCCACAGGACTTCTAAATATTTCCCTATAGGACCCTCATAGTTTTCCCCCCTTGCCACAGGCCACTCCTGGCCCTATAGACCTTCCATACAACCCACTTCTAGACTCACAGAAACCCCATAGGGCTCCCCCAGACCCCTAGGATGCCCCAGACCCACAGGGTACCCCACTCTCAGCCCCTATAGGGGCCTCCTCTAACTCCCCTTCCCCTCCATCCCCCCGGTTTATTATGGGATAGATGAGGCAAGCCAAAAGACTCGCCTGGATGCCTGGGTCCCCCTGGGGTGGGGGAGGGGACAGACAGACAAAGGACAGGTGTGACCCCCCCCCCTTCCCCCTCCAAGGGAACTCAGGCATCTGTGCCCCTCCTCCCATCCCTTTGTTCCCTCTCCCTCCCCCCACAATGGGATATTTTTGGGACATCCCCCCCCACAACCCCTGACATCCGATCAGCTTGTGACGCCAGTGGGGCTATGGGGCACCTTCACCTCATAACCATATATGGGGCTGGCCCTACAGGTTTCCCTTCCCCCCCTCGACCCCCAAAGCTCACCTAAGAATAGACAGGGGCACCCAGGCATCCAGGCCCCATCAATCCCATTAGATGCCCTATAGAGGACCAGGTGTCTGAATTTCACCTAATTTTTCTGATTCCCCACAAAATCTCCTGATTTTCCCCCAGATATCCTTGGTTTTCTCCTGATTTTCCCCCAGATTTCCTTGGTTTTCCCCTGATTTTCCTAATTGTCCCCCAGTTTGCTGCAAATTTCCTTGGTTTCCCCCTGCTTTCCCTATATTTCCATCAATTTGCCCTGAATTTCCTTGGTGCCCCCTAATTTTCCCAAACTTTCCAGATTTTCCCCCAAATGTCCTTATTTTATGCTGCAATTTGCCCCAAATATCCCTTGATTCCCCCAAATTATGGCCAAATGCTTTTTTCCCCAATTTCCCCCTAATTCCCTCACTTTGCTAATTTTCCCTCAATTTCCCCTCATTTCCCCTCATTTACATATTCTGACCTAAAGTTCCTCTTATTCTCCCTGGATTTTCCCTAATCTCCCTCAATTTGCCCCCATTCCTTTATTTCCCCTACACTTCCGCAAATTTCCATGCATTTTACCTGATTCTCCTAAGATATTTCATTTTTTCCAAATTTCTCCAAATTTTCCTCAATTCTCTTTATTTCCCCAAAATTTTTACCAGAATATATCCCTAATTTCCCCTAACTGAAATTTATCTCCCAAATTTACCACATTTTTCATATATTTCTCCTAATTTTTGTTGCTTTCTCCAGATGTCCCCTAATTCCATCCTACATTGCCCCAATCTTCCCCAGTTTTCCCCCATTTCCCTGAATTTCCCCTTCATTTTGCCACAGTTTCCACAATTTTCTCAATTTCACCCTAATTGCCCCTGATTTTCCCCAACATTTTCATAACTTATCTTGTTTTCTCCATATTTTACCTAATTTGCTCCAACACTTTATTGGATATGGGGGGAAGCATAGCGACAAGGATGAGGAAAAGGCTCGGGTGCTTAAGGCCTGCTCAGCTTCAGTCTTTAATAGTAAGAGCACTTGTTCTCAGCATACTCAGGACCCTGAACTGGAAGACTGGGATGGGAATGGGAACAAGAACAAGGCCCCCATAAACCAAGGACTGTACCATTCAGGCACATTCAGGCATTTCCCTCCCAGACATTCCCTCCCTGGAATGCACTCCTGATCCTGCAGAAGCTCCTCATCTTCCCAGGACAGGTGAAGTTGGCTACTGCCTCTCCCTTGGCTGAACAGCATTTGACTTGAACTTGGTTCTGACTGACAGAGCCAGAGCTTTCCTTGACTTTACTTTTGGCAATTTGGCCTTTTGTGTCTGTCCAGACAAAGCCTTTCTGGGCTTCCAACCCCCTCCCGCCCCCATCCACTCTCTAATGACAGGGCTTCCTTTCCTGGTGCTTCCTCAGTGCCAAGAGTGGTCTCATCTATTCCATTCGACTATTTGTGTTCCCTGGCCATCACACAGAGTTGTTTCTGTGCTGCCCCATCTGCCATCCTGCCTTCCATATGTGCCAAGTGCTGCCAGCTGCCAGCAGAGCCACCTCCCACCCGCCCCAGCCGTGCTCCCCTGCCCATTTGTGTCCCCGGCACAATGGCCTTGCACTCAGTCTGGGGAAAATAAATGGGATCTATTGCCAGATAAAACTGACCCAATACTTTCCTCTCTGCTTCACCAGGATCCCTGTGGGACCTGACTCAAAATAGCCAGGAGCTGTGGCTCAGGTTCCACAGTGGCCCAGCATCTGCAGCCTGAGGTGAGAAAAAACCCAAAGGGCTCCTTCTGACCTGAGAAGGGGAAATGAGTGGCCTTTTCCTCTGTGGTGTGTGACTGCTGACAGAGCAGTGCCATAGAGATCAGACCATAGCAGCACGTGTAAATACACTGCTGAGAATTAACTTTCTTTGCAGTACTCCCTTGAGGAGGACTCAAGACATGGATGGAGAGGAAGGTACGACTAAGGCAACTCTAATTCCCACCATGGCACTCTCTTCCTCTATCAGGAAGTGTGAGACAACAGGAAAAGGAAGTGTGGCCATAAACAGGGCCTGTTTCATCAGCACCAACCTTTTGGCTGGCTATGACAGGAAACTAGAGGAGAATACAGGCTGGAGGGAGGAGAGAAACCTCTGTGTCAAGACTTCTGCAGTGTACCTTCCTCACAACTCCAGTAAAGCCTGGGACCTCAGCCTGGTCCAAACTTGACAGTGGCCTTCCTGCTGCCATCATGGATGGAGTCCTGCACTTCACTCTCAAAAGAAGGGGCAGTGGATCTTCTGAGTGAGTTAATGAAGTTCAATAGCAAGTGTAACAGTGACTTAACAAGTCTCAAGGTCAGAGCTTCACTCTGCACCTCTCTTAACTTTTTTTCTTCAGGGCAAGAAAAAGGGAGCAATAGAGGCATGGGAAGGCAGTTCCTATAGAAAAGAGCCATGGAAACCAGAGGTGATTAGCTTTTTTCTTTTAAAAGCAGTCTCCAGTCTGGCTGCTGTGAGCTCAGAGGCCAACAGGTGCACAGCATTCTGATCCAGTGCACGTCTGCCCAGTCTGAACTCACAGTTCCTGCTGCTCCTGTAGCTCGGGCAGAGACAGGGAATGCTGCAAGGCATAAAGAGCAAGGGAAAGATGCTGCTGTTGCCAAGTGTTTCCAATCAATGACAGTGCTCTCCTCTGCTTTCTTGCTTGTTTCCCTCCCTGAACACCACTCCTACTGAATGCCCTGCTCCATTCTCTCTCCTTGGACCAGCCCTGAACTACTCAATCCTTTGGGGCTCTCTCCAAAAAATCCTCTCTGTCCATCGGGGCTCAAAGCAGTTCTGCCCATAGCCAAATTTCTGAAATGCCCCCATGCAGAAGGTTGGGGCAGCAGGGTTCTAATGCTGATCAAAACCAAAAGACCCAAGTCTTCATGCCAATACAGTGCTTTGCTGAAACCTTCACAGGCCCAGTTCTGCCTCAGCACTGCTCTCTGCCAGCTGTGTGCAATGCCACAGACTGTGGGGACACTGCTGTTGGGTCCAGCTGACCTTTGCATGAATGGCATGGTGGGCACTGGGTGACCAGAGAGTGGCCGTTCACACCCTGACCACAGGCTGTGAGTGAGATGCACTGTGTGCTCTGGCATTGCACCAGCAGAACCAGCCTTGGCCCAAAGAAACCCCAACATCCCCCACTGTTTAAGGAGACAGACACAGAAGGAGATGCAGTAAGTTCAGTATCCCCCTAGGATTTATTCAGTACCCTCCCTCCTCCACCAGTATCACTCCAGTCCCTCCCAGTTACCACACAAACTCTCCCAGC